CGGTCATAAGTCACTGAACAATAGTGTGTGTGTGTGTGTGTGTGTGTGTGTGTGTGTGTGTTTATTGTAATGTTGTTTATTGCGGGGGTTTCCAACCTGGGCAACTTTAAGATTTGTGGACTTCAACTCCCAGAATTCCTCAGCCAGCTTTGCGGCTTGCTTTGCTGGCTGAGGAATTCTGGGAGTTGAAGTCCACAAGTCTTAAAGTTGCCCAGGTTGGAGACCCCTAGTTTATTGTAATGGCGTAAGCCGCTCAGAGTCGCCTGCTGAAGGTCTCCTTGCGACCACTAGGTGGCAGGCTTTACTTTCTGCATTCGCTTTCTTACTCCGCATTAGTTTCTCAATTATTTATTTATTCATTGATTAGATTTGTATGGCTGCCTATTTGCCATGGCGATTCAAGGCAGACTTATACAACATGTAAAAGCACAATTTAAAAACAATATAACTCATAAAATCAAATAAATTAATATAGCAAAATCAACCCCCTCTCCCCCACAGCCACAGCAGATTACATGAGCCATTTAATGGCCTCCAGAGGTGGGATTCAGCCGGTTCTGACCAGTTCTGGAGAACCGGTAGAGGAAATGTTCGGTAGTTCAGAGAACCAGCAAATCCCACCTCCGACTGGCCCCTTTGCCATCTATTCTCCGCCTCCTGAGCCCCAGCTGATCGGCTGGCTCTTCTTTGGTTGCCCTGCACAGGAGAACGGAGCTGGAAAGCAGGTTAGTGGGGTGGGGAGGGAATGGGGATTTTGCAATAATCTTCCCCCAGGAGTGGGGAAGGAATGGAGATTTTTACTGTGTCCTTCCCCTGCCACACCCACCAAGCCAACCCACCAAGTCACACCCACAGAACCGGTAGTAAAAACAATTTGAATCCCACCACTGCTGGGTTCCAACCCTCTCTGGGTTCCCCAGGCCCGCTGGCAGAACCAGGTCTTCTTCAGTGCCTTCCAGAGAGTGCTAGAGAGGGGGCCATTCTAATCTCTGGGGGAAATGATGTTCCAGAGAGAGGGAGCCACCACGGAGAAGGCCCCACCAGGTGTATCTCCCTCAGGGGTGGGACCCACAGCATTCCCTGCCTCACTGCTCTGATGGGTCAGGTAGATATGACTGGCAAGAGACGGTCATCCCTCAGATCACCTGGTTCCCAAGCCATGAAGGGCTCTAAAGGTGACAACCAGCACCTTGAATTGCACCTGGAAGCAAATCGGCGGCCAACGCAGCTCCTGCAGGAGAGGTGACACATGTGCACACCGGGATCTGCATAAAACCATGCATTTTGCACCAACGGGAGCCTCCAGATGCTCTTCAAGGGCAGCCCCATGCAGAGCGTGTTGCAATAATCAAGACGGGAAGTGACTTAAGGCATGAGGGACTGCGAGTAGGGATTGTTGTTATTCGAGGCAAGAGAATATGTAGTCCTCGACTTATGGTGACAATTAGGACCAGAATTTCCATCGCTAAGCAAGGCAGCGAGTTGCACTCCGTTTTACAACCCGTTTTGCCGCCGTTGTTGTGAATCACGCAGTGGTCAGCCAATCAAGGTTCCCCTGCATTGACTTTGAGCTAGAAAAAAAGTGGAATAGATAGCACCACCGCTAGATGGACTTGCAACTGGCTGACAAACCTTATTCAGTGAGTAGTCCTTAATAGGTATAGGGCTTCCTTATAGAGCAGGGGGTTGGACTAGAAGACCTCCAAAGTCCCTTCCAACTCTCTAAGCCTGTTGTTCTGTTATTCTCCCCAAAGGGCTAACCAACTGCACTGTTTGGGACTCAGCTAGAGAGCTGCTCAACTTCCTCCCAGCTGCAATGCAACCTTAGACGGAGACCGAAGGGTTGATGCCAAGCACAGATAGAAAGGCATGTGGTGCCCAGTGCCAATGTTTCTGTATCAGGTGCTCCAATTTTCCATATTGCCCCGATAAAGGACAGGAGGGATGGAAGGAAACGAGGAGGGCCAGCGATCTGGTTACAGTATACCGCTTTTTTGGGCCAGGTTTTCAACTGATAGTATTTTGTGTTGAGTCTTTCAAGCATCTCGGTTATTATAGATGCAGGGAAGCTATTAGGATAAATGAGGGAGGGAGGAAAGGAAA